TGACTCTGATCCACAGAGTCCAGACCAGATTCACTCAGCCTCTGTATGCTGGGATTTTGCTTTACTCTTCTGGATCCTCTGCAGGGTTCATTAAGCTGAAATAGTCAGCAGTGATCTGAGGTCCAGTTGGTTAAAATTTGTATTTGTTTATTCAATCTGAATCGTTGTTGCTGAGAGATCATTGTCAGTTGGAGTTTGTTTGGGTGCTGCCCCTTCCTGTTTCTGTTCAGCTATGGAAGCCATCACTGCTCAGGAGGATTTTGATTAATCTAAACTATTTATTCACATTTATTGCTTTGTCAGACCAAATATTGCTGTATAAATCGTACATAGATTTGCTGATGGAAACCAATTGTCATAATCAATCAGGACAGCAGTTATTTTATTGGACAAAGATCAGATCCTTATGATGGGATCATGAGTTTTGCAACTTTAAAATAAAACATAGTGGTAACTTTGTAACTGTGTAAAACTGACTGGAAAGTGAAATCTGGAAGGACGTCACCAGCTGGACAGAACTTGGTGCTTCCAGATTTCAGCTGAGAAGCAAAACCTTTCCTGTTTATGTAGAGAAGAGCTGAGATTCTGAACGCCGTTATTCTGTAAACTGCATTGATTACCATTAAGGTGATTCTTTTGTGTTTTTTCTATATGGGACTTCATACAGCTATCATGATTGATTGGTGTTTTTTCTACTTTAATGATTAATCCATGTGGTGTGAAAATCTGAATCTAGATTTGTGACATTTAGTAGATTAAGATGAGTTGGTATTTTATCTTGATGAACATTTGCATAATAATAAAGATGACCAAGGATTAAACCCTTTGTAAAATCTTTCATTTCACATATTACTCTTATTTCTCTGTGTTTATTTTTGGGGAAGCAGATGACCCTTCCTCCACAGTTTAGTTAAAGTTTGCAGCATTTCCTGTCAGAAGAAGCTCAGTAGTTCAGTCATTTGTTGCAGAAACATGTTTGTGATTCAGACACGTATAAAGACAGTCAACAGCACACGTGGTCCTCATTCACACAGAAATGAAATCTGCAGACATTAACCAATACACACACTCAGGGGCGCGGTATAGGGGGCAAATGATGACCATTCTAGGAGCCCTGACCAGCAGGGGGCCCTCCACAATTTAATTATTTATTTTTTGTTCATAGAAATAAAATAAAAAAAATCAGGGCCCTGTCAATTACAAAATTAATCATGTTGTATTTTCAAAGATTGTTTTTAGCAGTAAAAATGTAATATTCCCACTTCCAGAAAAAAAAATAAACACACATCCATATTTGCCCTGAACCCCCCTATGTGGGTTAAATGGTTCGTTCCTGCTTGGAGCTTCAGAGTGACGCTGTTCAGCAGCAAGCAGTAGGAAACACGAACCACTGTGACGGTTACTATGCTGCTAAGAAAAGTTATAAAATCAGGTTTTCAAAAAACCTGATACCAGGAATAAAGATTAGGGTGATGGCGTTGAGGCCTTCCAACCTCAAGGACTTGGAGCTGATCACCAAATATTAGTCCACCAAAATACTAGAGAAAACATGCAAAATGCTGGCCAGTGATTACAAGAAGGGCTTGCTGCTGCAATGTCAGTAAGGATATCACTGCTGATAACTGAGGAAGGGGTAAAGACAAAGAAATAACATTTTATCATGCCTTGACTCTAGCCCATAAAGACTCTATCCCCCTCACTCTGCTGAACCAGATTTCATTTTATTGATTCATTCCAGACACAGGCGAGCACATCCACATTAACACCAGTATGAATCTGTGCATCTAAATATGTATACCTTCATACACGTGTGCACACACACTAGAACATATAAAATATATGTAAATTTTACATATATGTAAAATGTATATCAATACATCTGCTTTAACAGAATGCACAAGAATAAATCTGTAAAGTAAGTATATACCCAAGGTGCACTCATCTGTCCATACATACCCATCAACACACACAGTACAAATGATACTGACATATAATGTTATATTATAATCATATAATGACACACAGTATAAATCTGACTTTTCCTTTATTTGTTCATTGTTAGAAAACACTGAGGGACATGTCCATGAGTGGGAATGAGTGGAAGGCTTTAGTCATGATGGAAGAAACGTCATAACAACATGTAATCTCTGAGCTGCATCTGCAGATAAATCAACCTGTGGAGCCACAATCTTGTCTCCAGCACCCATAATGCTGAAAGGCAGAAGACGTCAGAAATACTTACACCGAGTCTGAGGAATGCTCAGATCAAAGACTCAGGGTGTGTTGAAGTGATGAATCTGTTGGATAAGGACTACTGGAGCTGCGTGGTGTCGGAATATTACCAGAACAACTGTGACAGGCTCTTGTAGTCTGAGTTAAAGAAATACAGTTTGTTTGTTCAGTTTCAGGAGTTTGAGTTGCTCAGGAGTTGTTTTTATTCGTTGAATTTAATGTGAATTCAGTCCACTCACGTGAAAAAGTTTACTGCATCATTCACAAAGCTGTGAAAAGGTTTTCACTGGCAAATTTCACTCTTGAATATTTGAGGTAAAAGGACTCCAAAAGTGGGTGTAGGTGAGAACAACTAGTGATCAGAACCTATGATCATTCCTTTTTACCAAGTATGGAGAAAAAGAGACCAGAAAGAGTTAATGCACCTTCAGGGAATCAGTCTGAAAATATATCATCTTCCTGCTATGAAATAGTGATTCCAGTTCATCCACATATTTTTAAGGTGGGTGTAGCTTGCATCTGTTGATAGTCAAAGTTGTCTGATTCAAACGTTTTCATTGTAACTGAGGTAAAATGGCTCAGAGAGGAGTACAGGTAGACGTAGACTCTCTGTCCTGTTCCATCTGTTTGGATCTACTGACGGATCCGGTGACGATTCCCTGTGGACACAGTTACTGTATGAACTGTATTCAACACCACTGGGATGAAGATCAAAGGAGAATCCACAGCTGCCCTCAGTGCAGAAAAGCCTTCATACCGAGGCCTGGACTGGAGAAAAACTTCTTGTTAGCTTCTTTAGTCGATGATCTGAAGAAAACTGGACTCCAAGCTGCTCTACCAGATCACCGCTATATTGGACCTGAAGATGTGGCGTGTGATGTCTGCACTGGGAGGAAGATGAAAGCTGTCAAGTCGTGTCTATCCTCTTCAGCTTCTTATTGTGAGAATCACCTCCAACCTCACTATGATACTCCACCATTTCAAAAACACAAACTGGTGAATCCCTCCAAGAACCTCCAGGAGAACATCTGCTCTCGTCATGATGAGGTGATGAAGATCTTC